TATTGAGGGTATTGACGCTCTTTATAGAGTCTGAACTCAGATCATTCATAATCAAAAGTAGTAACGTTGCTATTGAACTATCTGAGTGGTAACTTGCTTGTAAGACTAAAAAACAGATTGGTCACTGTCTAGTCTGTGAATGCTGATTGATTTCTATCAACTGCATTGGAATAAAACAACTAGTCTGAGTTATTCTATATAGAATATAACATTCTCTTATGTTTGATATCTGAAGTTATTAATTATTAGTTGTGTACTAGGCAATGATTTTCGGAAATTAAATACTTGAATCTCTGTAGATTTACTTAGAGAATTATTATTAAAATGTTATCTGCATGTAAATTTTACATTTAATGTAAAACTAAACAGACAATTAAACGGAATTGTAGTAAGTTGGCAACTGGGTCCCATGTTAGCCAACAGTTTCCTAGCAAGACCAGAATACTGGCCTCTTGTAATGAATATGAAAGCTTCTCAATATTACATACAATATGTGTATAACATATTTTATGCTCTATAGAGGTCATACTAGTCGGTTTTAGACTCTCAGAGGATTTAATAAAGTTTATCTATACACTAATTTCATAGTCAAGGAAAGAAATGGTGGTAGGATAACCCTCCTAGAAAGAGAGTAAACTAATCAATAGGAAGAAACCAGAACAAGAAACGTACTTGATTAGGATAATACATAAACTATCATAGTTTTATTCCTCTCCAATATCATAAAATGCATCTGATGAAAGCTCCTTACTATAAAATTAAAACCGTATGCTCTTCAAATACATTCGAGGAAGAAACAAATGCTTTATGTAATACTCTAAGGGGAATAGTTATCCAGGGAAGTTTATAAAGGAACAATTCGCCGAAAAACAAAGAGTTTAGGATATTTAGAATCCATGGTTAACTGAATGTGTAAATTGAAATTAAATAAAATTTAGTAGTTAGCTTAAACATCTTTCATAATATTTCTAAGTTGTTATCACTGTCATCCAAACAAAAACCCTAACGTTATTCTCACCGTTGTTAGAATGATTGTATACTCCATAATATTATATATATATTATTATTATGCGGTATGGCAACTTGGACCGATGCATATATGTGCCTGGTCCTACATTGTAGCTGACTGACTGACCTATTATTATTATCATTACTGATCATAAAATGTACATCTTTGAGAATACAGATTTTTAATAGAATTTTTATTTTCTAATTAATTTGTATTGAGATTAGCATAGTTTGTAAATGGTGCATTAATACCAAATGAATATCAGCTAGATAGATGCAAAATACTTTTCAGTACATTGATAAATCAAATAGACTTGATAAATGGGACAATCACTTACTAAAGATCAAACTCTATTTAGCAATATTAAATTTTAAAATAAGTGAACTAATCCACTACTATTCAACAGAATCGTAGTCAATAACGCTCATCCTAACATACAATTAACTATGGAACACCAACAGAGTGACATGTTCCACTTTCTTGATGTTGCTATAACACGTAGGAGAGACGGGAAAGTCCAACGTTCGCTTTATCAAAAAAGTACTTGGAATGGCCTCTACCTGAATTTCAATAGTTTTTGTCCACTCAGTTACAAGAAGGCATTAGTTAAAACACTATTTTATAGAGCAGAAAGGATATGTATCACTGACAATCTGGAAGAACAATGGATAAACGTGGAAAAATGCCTACGAGATAACTTTTATCCACAAAAGTTTATTGACAAATATAAAAAGCGTGAAGAAAACAGTACTGAAGTAATTACGGTCAATAAAAAACCAATAACTATAAATCTTAACTTCAAAGGTGATGATGTTGCAAACACAATCAACAGGAGACTAAATACTGAGCTAGCCAGAACTTATCCGGCGGCCAAACTTGTAATACTGTATAAAACAACATGTTCAATAACTTAATCAAAGGTTGATAAGTATCCTTTTCATGTTACCGCCAATTGTATTCATAAATTTACGTGTACCTGCCAAAGCAGCTACATTGGCCGAACTGAAAGGAGGGCGTACCTCAGATTTTTTTAGCATGTTCTAAAAAGCCTCAGAACAAGAGAAAGAGAGACTCTAAATAGTGCAATCACCAAACATCTCCTTGATACAGGACATCAGGTCGATACCCTACAATCATTCAAGATGATTAGTAAGCAGCGAAACTCCAGTCTTCTGAAGTTTGCTGAAGCAGTTGCTATCAGACGCCAAAAACCTGATTTATACGTTCAAAAGGAGATGGTTATTAATCTTTCCTTGCCTTGGTGACTAATATTCCTTCGCTGCATCTTAGTATTTTTTCTTTTTCTTTAAACTCTTTCTTGCACTTATCACGTCATCGAGTTTTATTTCAACTATCTTCCAAATTAATAATCTTATTTTATCAACTGAGCTCTACTCACTATATTCTTATCAATGTTTACTTGTTTCTAGCTCTTTGAACTGTTGTCACAATGTTCTTTTACATAAGATATATATTTACAATATGCAGTCTATTAAATTTATTTACACCCTTCCTATACTATACGAATATGTCTTCAATATAACTTCCAATCAAACTCTTTCATGTAAGTAATTTAAACCCATTATGTAATTATGATTTTAAATATCACAGGTTGTAAGCTGACGAGAACCAACGAAATAAAAATGAATTTATGCTATTCTGCTAGAATGTTTGTTCTTACTCTTTTCAGAATCGTAATCATTCCCAAATTCCAAGGTCACTAATTAGATCTAGTTTACGTTATTATTGTGCACTAAATCGAACTAATGAAGTAGAACGAACTTGTGATCAGTAGGAGCACTTTTGCCGTAAGTAGGGTAGAATTTCACAAATAATATTAATTAATAACAGTCTTATGGAATTAATTACTATTCTGTACTAAATATGATATATTTAATGTCTTAGAAACAACCAACAATAGTTACCAGTCTATTTGATGCAACTAGATATAAATTCACAAAAATATACAAATTTATGAATGATAAAATAACGCATAATTATTTAACTTAACATCTATAACTCAAATTAAACGAAGTTGAAATGGTACCAATAGTTGCGAACCCAGTTGTTCATCTCGAGACTTGCATGTCCTAGATTCAGCCCCTATGAGTCTATACGTGTGTACTGAGGAGTAGTCCTTTATTGGGACCCTTCACTTTTGAAGTCAATTAGATAGCACAATGTTGTTGACAAGCTCAACACTTTAGTGGCCTGATATATGACTCCAGTTATATCGTATGAATGTCATTGAAGTACACATTTCGGTCATCTTCGTATATTATCATTGACTTAACTCACATTGGTGAAGAACGGAATTAAATAAGTCAAATATGAGAATGGATTTCGAATACATATAATTTGTACAATCATTGATTTGGACAAACAATCAGAGGAGAGGGCGAAACAAAATGGCGCGCCGTGGAGAAGGCGTGTGAGCCAACTTCATTTAATCAAGAGTTAATCGATATTTATCGTCCCACAAAAATAAGTGATAGGTATGTGATGAACACCGCCCGTCGCTACTACCGATTGAATGGTTTAGTGAGGTCGTTGGATTGGCGTCGTTGTAGTGGCGTTGCCGCTCGACTGATGCTGAGAAGATGACCTAATTTGACTATTTAGAGGAAGTAAAAGTCGTAACAACGTTTCCGTAGGTGAACCTGTGGAAGGATCATTATCATAACCCAAAAATGTATAATAATGCATGCACCTGGCTTCGTGCTGGACTGTATGTACCCTGGCTTGGTGGTTATTACCCTAGGCTCCAGTGGTTGAATATGACATGCACCTGGCTTCGTGCTGGACTGTATGTACCCTGGGTTGGTGGTTATTACCCTAGGCTCCAGTGGTTGAATATGACATGCACCTGGCTTCGTGCTGGACTGCATGTACCCTGGCTTGGTGGTTATTACCCTAGGCTCCAGTGGTTGAATGTGATGAATGAAATAAGAAGTGCATATACATACGCTCATATAAAAACAGTCAAGGTTGATAAGCAAATAATTAACAAAATCAAAATGTGACTCTTGAAGAACGAATAAACTGGTTTGTTCGAAAGCTAGAATAAACTGTGTGGGCTTAACATAGTAACCGAAACTACAGTCTCATACTAAGGTAATAATACCTAGACTGCGATCAATCTCTAACGCAAAACAACCTAGTTTTTTATCACATGAAACAAAATAACAATAACGATTAGGTGAGACTATAATTTATGGACGATCTTTGAACGACGCCAGACTGACCTTGAGAGTGTCCAGCTAATAACACGTACTTAAATGAGGTTTATAACCCTATGTAAGGAATTAGAATTATGATTTACAGTTGATAATTAAGATTCGAAATTATCTTCAAGGTTTTCATCACGAATTGACATCAGCTATAATACCAAAACCCTATGTATCCAAATGGAATGACTGAATTCGCGTCAAAGTCAGTCAGTCAGTCAGCTACAACGTAGGACCAGTCACATATATGCAACTCTTCAAGTTGCCATACTGCATTAGCACAACAAGATCAACACCGGATCCATAGAAGTAGTTAATTCAATGGTGGTAATATATAAAAGAAAGGATATAGTACAAGAAGAAAGAATTAGTTGGTAAAAAGAAAGATATGAAGCGTTTTTAACCTTTTATTTTAAGGGAAGACAGAGAGTGTATACACCTAAGCTATTGTGATCGATTCTGAGCCATATCCCCATGAGTCTCCAACCATTGGTTCCGATAGTCATGCGGACCCTAACCAAGTGAGTCTGTATCTACCAACATGGTTCCGACTAGATGTTAATGACATCAAGGACTGATACCACGTCTTGGTTTGGACGCCCCTAACTTTCTTTCAACGATCTCCAATACCGGTTAACATTCCCCATCGTCGCATCAAAACCTTTTATCTTATACATGATTAATTCATCCATGAATTCTAGTCTCGTCAACAGTTAAAAGTTATTTTTTCAAACAAATAAATAAACACAATAGTAATGCATTACTTTGACTGGTTCTTCACATCCAGGAAAATGAATTTCACCATAACTATGAATAAAATTATATTCATCAGTTTTTTCTATTTCAATATTTTGTTTATGGATTGTTTTTTTACGTAATGTTGATTTTTGAAATGTAGTTGATTTTTGATTCATTTTATTGTTTATTTGTTTGTTCAGTTAAGATGCAAATAAATAAATAAGCAACTATAATCTCTATGTATGAAATAAATCCCCATTCATGATAGTGTCAAGTTAATATGAATGTAATTTAAGCAATATGAAATATTTCATTGACACCATTGGACATAATGTATCGTTAATTTGAGTAGTGATTTACTGATCACTGATTGGTTGGTAGGTGTTCTTATTTTTGTTTTGTTTTTATAGATGAATTATAAAAGCTATGCTATGCTATGCTTTAAATATCTATTAAATATAATGGATAGAATTTAGGTGGTCAATCACTAAAGTTGAAGAATCATTGGATAGCTATTTGATCTTAGTATTGGAATCAGTCGTGAGTGATCAAAATCTCACTAAAAATCAAATTCAGGATATTTAGGTTGTTTTTCTGGGAGCTCATAACTTTTGGATCATTGAGTTAAGATTCAATGGTTTACATGTTTAACTTTAATCGATTCACAGTATTTTTGTTATATCCCGATAAGAATAATGAATGGAATTTTTCGGGATTCATTTATGGACCAATACTATGAGTACATTTTTATCGTGTAATTGTTATGTAACTAAACTATTCATATTCATGTCCCTGTTATGATGAGTTTTATTTTGACCTATGAACTATTATTATACGATTTACCATTCTTGAGTTATGGCCTGTCTATTAATTCCTATCTCCTTCATTCACACCCACTTTTAACTAAATATTGTACAAATATTGTTTCATATTTTATAGTACGTTGTGGTCTGTCTGGTTGATATATAAACCGAGTATGTTTGAAATAAAGGGTTAATATTGCAGAGGCTGAGATGAGTGTTCTGCACTTAACTGACTGGTCTAGGCGGAAAGCACGACCAATAAGGACTCTAGGCTGCTCGTATGTGTTTTATACGTCACTGATTCGATCGATGATTCACTGCTCTCTGATTGGCGGAATCGTTGAATTATCCAATATATAGAGCACACAGGTTCACAAGTTATAACAATTTTGAAAACATTTTCTAATCAAAATGACAAGCAACTGATACAAATCTGACATGGTTTAATGGTATTTGTCATGGTTTCAAACTTAAATTCTGGTAAGTAGCTCTCAGAACTAATCACTACCGAATATATGATTATTATTTGTGCGGAAAGAGAATAAACCTAATATAGGGAATGTGTCAAACAAATTAAGATAACGATATTGTTCAGATCAAAAACCAAAATATATATTAGGCAGATTAGTAATGACCAAAAATCAATGAAGATTGAGTGATTAAAAAAGAATAAATAGACTGAATAACGTATGTTAAAACAAAATAAGAACAGTGTAAAACTGTGCCTAGATTAAATTCTGAGTTATATATTCAACAACATTGAGAAGAGATGAACTTTATGATCTTCTAAATAACACCAAAAAATTCATTATTTATTTAAAACAAGTTATTTCATAGATCAATAAGCGTTTTGTGTATTTCTACCAGTTTTGATTTCATTACTTACTTACTTACTTACTTACGTCTGTTACTCCTAATGGACCATAGGCCGCCAACCAGCATTCTCCAACACACTCTGCCCTGGGCCTTCCTTTTCAGTCCTATCCAATTTTTGTTCATTTTCCTCATGTCTATCTCCATTTCTCGACGTAATGTGTTCTTTGGTCTTCCTCTTCTCCTTTGGCCTTCAGGATTCCAAGTGAGGGCTTACCTTGTGACACAGTTGGGTACTTTCCTCAATGCGTGTCTTACCAACTTTCAGCACTTCTTCCTGATTTCTTCTTCCGCTGGGATCTGGTTTGTTCTCTCCTACAGTAGGTTGTTGCTGATAGTGTCCGACCAACGGATCCGAAGTATTTTGCGTAGACAACTGTTAATAAACACCTGTATTTGCTGGATGATGGCTTTCATAGTTCTCCAGGTTTCTGCCCCATACAGTAGAACTGTCTTGACATTTGTATTGAAAATCCTGACCTTGGTGTTGGTTGACAGTTGCTTTGAATTCCAGATGTTCCTCAGTTGTAAATATGCTGCTCTTGCTTTGCCGATCCGCGCCTTCACATCTGCATCAGATCCACCCTGTTCATCAATGATGCTGCCCAAATACGTAAAGGTTTTTACATCTTCCAAATCTTCTCCGTCAATTGTGATTGGATTGGTGCATTCTGTGTTGTATCGGAGAATCCTGCTTTTCCCTTTGTGTATATTGAGACCTACTGCTGCTGAGGCTGCTGCCACACTGGTCGTCTTCTCCTGCATCTGTTGTTGCGTTTGGGATAGAAGGGCCAGATCATCTGCGAAGTCTAGATCGTCCAACTGCATCCTAGATGTCCATTGTATCCCGTGCTTCCCTTCAGACGTTGACGTCTTCATGATCCAGTCGATCACCAGGAGAAAGAGAAAGGGTGAGAGTAAGCAACCTTGCCTGACACCGGTCTTCACTTCGAACGACTTTGTCAACTGTCCTCCATGCACGATTTTGCAGTGTAATCCATCATAGGAATTCTGTATGATATTGACTATCTTCTGAGGCACGCCGTAGTGTCGAAGAAGTTTCCATAGTGTTGTTCTGTCCACGCTATCAAATGCCTTTTCGTAGTCAATGAAGTTGATGTAGAGTGATGAATTCCATTCAATTGATTGTTCCACAATGATCCGTAGAGTTGCGATTTGGTCTGTACACGATCTATCCTTACGGAATCCTGCCTGTTGGTCACGAAGTTGGGCGTCTACGCAGTCCTTCATCCTGTTTAACAATACCCTGTTGAAGACTTTTCCCGGTATTGAGAGAAGAGTGATGCCCCTGTAGTTATCACACTTGCTGAGATCGCCTTTCTTCGGTATTTTGATCAGAAGTCCTTCTTTCCAGTCTTTTGGTACTTGTTCCTCATCCCAAATCTTATTGAAGAGAATGTGGAGTATCCTTGCAGTTGCCGCTACGTCTGCTTTTAGTGCCTCTGCTGGGATGTTGTCCGGTCCTGCTGCTTTGCCACTCTTGATTTGTCTGATGGCCATGCTGATTTCTTCAATTGTTGGTGGGCCAACATTGATTGGGAGGTCCGTGGGTGCTGCTTCGATGTTGGGTGGGTTCAGTGGAGCTGGTCGATTCAAGAGTTCTTTAAAGTGTTTTACCCACCTGTGCCTTGGCTTTTTCTGCTCTTGTTCGACTGGTATTGATCGCTGCCTTCTTGTTCCTCCTTTCTTGAATCTTATCCAGTGTATCAACAGTGATCCATTCCTTGTGATGGTGCTTCTTGTGACCCAGAACCTCATGACATGTTGAAGTGATTGCCTCTTTGATCCCCTTCCAGTTGCTCTCCACAGTAGTTCCTTCTCCATTGAGTAGATCATGAAAGGCCTGGAACTTGTTGCTGAGGACTATCTTGAATTTGTTGAGTTTGTTAGTATCCTGAAGAAAGGCCGTATTGAACTTTTGTGATATTGTCCTCCCCGTTGTCCAGTGCTTCTTGAGTTTCAATTTCATCTTGGCGACCAGCAAGTGATGATCTGATGCTATATCAGCTCCTCTCTTGGTTCTCACGTCTTCCATCTTCCTCCTGAACGTTTTGTTGATGCAAATATGGTCGATTTGGTTTTGCGTGGTGTGATCCGGTGAAGTCCATGTGGTTTTGTGTATGCGTTTATGTGGGAATATGGTGCCGCCTATGACCAGTTTATTGAAGGCACATAGATTTGCAAATCTCTCACCATTTTCGTTTCTTTCTCCCAGTCCGTGTCGTCCCATGATGTCTTCATATCCAGTGTTGTCCGTTCCAACCTTGGCGTTGAAATCTCCCATCAGAATAGTCAGGTCCTTTTTTGGGCACTTCTCGACGATTGACTGCAGCCTATTGTAGAATTGATCTTTAGCGTCTTCATTGTAGTCGTTGGTAGGCGCATAGCATTGGATGATGTTCATTGAAATGCCCTCTTTCTTTGTTTTGAACGAGGCTTTGATGATCCTTGGTCCATGAGATTCCCATCCTATAAGTGCATTTTGTGCTTGTTTGGACAGCATCAATGCAACTCCTTGTGTATGTGGGCATTTTCTTCTTCATGGCCGGAGTATAACAGAAGCTCTCCTGAAGTTAGTCGTTGTTGTCCAACTTGCGTCCATGTGTTTCACTGATCCCAAGTACCTCTAGGTTGTATCTTCTCATTTCTGCAGCAATTTGGAAGGCTCTCCCGGTCTCCCTCATTGTACAAACATTCCATGTACCTAAATAAATGGTTGCTCTGGTTGTCAGAAGGGGCATCGGCCTCGTAACTTCCGAAGGAATTCGGCTTTCATCATGAGGCGTCATAGTTCTTCTAAATGAAGACCTTCTGACTCCCAGGGCAGAGTTTAAAAGGTTTGAATAATTTTTTCTGGTTATCGTTTTTTTAGCGAGTCAGTTTTCTACGGGATGGGGTTGCTAACCCCATGCCCAATCCTACTCCTTTATCGGACTTGGGACCAGCAGTAGTCCCCGGAAGGACTCCAGGCGGAGTTTTTGATTTCATTAACTAATTCAAAATACGAGCGCCTTGTGTTGACAATTAACTCTATTGATTGAGAAATTTGATGCTTTATGAACAAAATGGTTGTAATCCATAAAACGGATTTTAGAGTAAATCAATTTGATTTATTTCGAAACAATTTTGCTATATTCATTTTCATTGCTCTAAACATCAGTTGAGGTAGTTTAGTATCCAGCTTCTTTATCATCCCATTTATTTCACGTTTTCTCGTATACACATCGGTTTAGTACTTTCAGTTGTCTTGACAGCCAGTTTCCGGTTGTTATCGTACTTAGAACTTTTCATCAACATTCTGAATAAGGAAGTGATGATCGGAAAATAAAAGATATTGCCTACGTTCGAAATCTTCATTGATACAAATTGTCAATGATGGTCTATAAATAACAATCTTAATATCACAGTATGCATATGTGTTAGACTGACCACATTTATACTCATGTATATCAATATATTTTTATTCACAATAGAATAGT